TTCGTCTCCTCAATCAAGACAGGCCACTCTCCCGGTCATAGTGTTATGGTTATCAGTTCAACCTTACACTGCTGTGCTGACACTGCACACTGCACTTTTAAAACTGGCTATAAGCATTTTTTGGCACAGTATTTCATTTCATCCTGTAAAATTGTATATACTCTCTTTGTAAATTCATAGGTTTTCTTTTCTTCTGTTTTGCACTCTGTATAATTTATTTACAGTATATTTTACAATTTATTTTCTAGTTTTTCTTATTTGCACAAAGTATGAGCGGTTCAGGATACATTTCATTGCATGTTGTACCTGTATAATTATGCATGTGACAAATAAAGAATCTTGATCTTATATGAATGAACTAACTTTACAATGCTGAAACAAGGAGCAAAGTCAAGAATGCTATAATATTGTTTTTTTTATTTAAATAATGATTTATACAAACAAAAATGCCTTATATCACCAGCAAACAACACAGAGTTTATCTTCCTACTTGTGTGGGTGTTGGTGGTCTAGTGATTAGGATGCTTGCCTCTAGACCAAGACAGTGTGGGTTTGAGTCTCACCTCACAATCATCATTGACCATAAGACCCTTAACCCAAACTATGCCTCCCCAGACCTTCACTGGCCCACCACCAAACTGGTCATGCTGAACAATGTTACAAGCAGCATGGCTTCTCCAGACCTTTTCACGTCTGTCACATGTGCTCAGGGTGAAGCTGCTCTCATCTGTGAAAAGCACAAGGTGCCAGTGGTGGACCTGCCAATTCTGGTATTCTATGGCAAATGCCAGTCGAGCTCCATGGTGCCCACTAGAGGACATCGGGCCCTCAGGTCACCCTCATGAAGTCTGTTTCTGATTATTTGGGCAGAGACGTTCACACCAGTGGCCTGCTGGAGGTCATTTTGTAGGGCTCTGGCAGTGCTCATCCTGTTCCAGATACCGGTACTGCTGATGGGTTAAGGACCTTCTACGGCCCTGTCCAGCTCTCCTAGAGTAACTACCTGTCTCATGGAATCTCCTCCATGCCATTGAGTCTGCACTGGGAGACACAACAAACCTTCTGACAATGGCACATATTGATGCGTCATCCTGGAGGAGTTGGACTACCTGTGCAACCTCTGTAGGGTCCAGGTATCACCTCATGCTACCAGTAGTGACACTGACTGTAGCCAAATGCAAAACGTGAAAAAACTGAAAAAATGAGAAGGGAAAAATGTCAGTGGCCTCCACCTGTTAAACCATTCCTGTTTTGGGGGTCGACACATTGTTGCCCCTCTAGTGCACCTGTCTGCTTTCATTAACACCAGCAGCTGAAACTGATTAACAACCCCCTCTACTGCTTAATTGACCAGATCAATATCCCAGAAGTTTAACTGACTTGATGCTATACTCTGATTAATAAGTGTTCCTTTAATTTTTTTGAGCTGTGTGTGTGTGTGTGTGTGTGATCAAACCAACCACTTGTCCACTGGACCCAGTCCCCAATAAGCTTCTTAAAGAATCCCTGGGAGTTCTGGCAAGACCTACAACTGCCATAATGAATGCATCCTTGTCATCAGGTGATGTTCCTAACCAAGTAGCAGTGATCAGGACAATACTGAAGAAGTCAAATTTGGATTCACAGGAACTCAGCAACTACAGACCTATCTCTAACGTACCGTTTTTGCCTAGTTCTGGAGAAGGCAGTTGCTACTCAACTTCACTCATACCTGCAGAGACACAACATACTGGATAGTTTCCAGTCGGGCTTCTGTCCGGGACACAGCACTGAAACTGCCTTAACTAAAGTCATAAATGACATAACAATGGCAACTGATGCGGACGGTGTGACTGTGCTAATGCTTCTGGACCTGCAGCTTTTGACACGGTTGACCATTCCATCATATTACAAAGACTTAAATTTGAGGTTGGGTTATGTGGAACAGTGTTGATGTGGTTTAAATCCTATCTGACTAATCGTTATCAATATATTCAAGTGTCAGAAAATTGTACTCCATTGTCAGTGTCACCAGTCAAATATGGAGTACCACAGGGATCAGTCCTTGGTCCTTTATTGTTTTCTCTCTACATGCTGCCAGGGTTCGAAATTAACTTTTTTGATCACCAGCCAAAGTGGCTGGTAACTTTCTGAAGTTACCAGCCAATCAGAATTTCCATTAGACAAATTTTTACGTGGTGAAAATAAGAGATTATGAATGCCACTGAATGAAAAT